ACTATCTCCTGTAGCAAAAACAAAGAGAGTTCATCTCCCATAAGTATATATGTACATAAAGTTAAGTCTTCTACCTTCGTCTTTGAAGAGGATTATCAGTCTTGTAAAACTATTTACGGAGCTTGAAATTATAGAAATTTTCAAGTTTTGCTAGCGATTTTCCATAAAAATAATTATTTGTCAAAAAAAAAAAAACAGTACACAACCGTTATCACTTAGGGGTAAAGGATATTACCGATTATCAAATCTACGGTATATGCATTATTTTTCTGTTAAAATTGGTCCATCCACTTCGAAGAATAGACAGAATGGCATTATATAATTTAAAAATCGATTTTAGATTAAAAAAAAACAACAATTGAACAACTACCGCCCATGTCGTTTTAAATTTAAAATCATACGTTAAAATGTTTTATTTCATATATTATGTATAGATATTTGATTGTCTATCTGTATATATTTATATACAGAATCTCGGTAAGCAAAATGTCCTAATAAGATTATGGTGATCGGGCCAATAGGGCTCGATACGAGGTCGGGCTTATCGCTAATGAACTTGGATTAATTGAATACGCGGTTCACCTAGATGTCGATCATTTTGTCTTTTATCGACGGCGATCGATATTATCCATTTATTTACAAAGGTTAAATAAAGTATTGACTATACGATTGTGTTCGTTTCAATCCAAGTCAAATGTGCCCAACAGTAGGGCACAGGTCTCCTCCGTCATTGGAGAGAGAGTTTATCTAAGACCTACTATGCTGTCGTGGGTTCCAGGTCCAACATGATTCTTTTAAGTTCATAAGAATCATGTTGTGTACATTTCTGAAATTTATTGGATTCCGTCTTCAAATTTGGATATAAAATGGGTTGTAGTTGCATATCATAATTCCGTCCGTCCGTCTCGAATTACCAGGGCCTGATCAATCTTGGCCAGTCAATTGTTTTTACCATTACAAACATGGTTGCCATACAATCTATTCAACCTAATTTAATAAGATACCCATCCCTATAAACATAAGAACCTTGTTAGCCATATAAGAATGTTTAACTTTATCGAATAACACTATTTTAAACTTTGAGCTACTAGTACTTTTCTCGTCTACAGCGATTGCCACATAAATCCATCTTATTTCCCCTTCCATCGATCTGATTGCACTCAGGAGATTGGATGTGTCCCGGAACTGTCAGGAAAGTTCCCCGGAGCTTTTGTTCACGGTAAAGGTCAATAGTGTTTTCAATGGGTTGAGATCGCTGTTATATATAAAATATACGTATATATCTTTACATACACATCTTTACATTAGTACATTAAAAGTATCCCTAGAATTATACGAAATGATAATTCAAAAAACTAAATACGCCTAACATTTCGATAGATAAAAATACCTACCAATTAATTAGTGCCTACGATTCTCTGTCTTTCACGTCTAGACGTTCGCTTAAGATTTTTTACGCCAACATAAGAAGTATTCGAAACAAACTTGATGAAATTAAATGTATATTGCGAAGTATATCACCTACTGTTCATGTATTAATACTAACGGAAACGTGGATACCATCTAAATTTGAAGCTGAGCACGTACAAATAGCAAATTACTCGCACGTTTATAACCTACGAACTGATAAAAAAGGAGGAGGTATATCTATGTTTGTCCACTCCAGTCTAAAGTATACTGTTCGACTAAACAATTACGAGCATGGCAGTAACTTTTTATGGATACATTTGGAGAAATACGCACTGAATATCGGTGGTGTATATAAGCCGCCCGACTCTAATAAAAAGAACTTCATGGAAATATATTCATCTCAATACTTAGAAACACAGAAGCGTTCGCTGGTATTTGGCGACTTTAATTTTAATATTTTATCTAATGACCGAGAAAACATCGACTACTCAAGGATGGTAAATAAAGCGGGATTCGATTTTATTAACAAACTAAACAAAGAACACAGCACACGTATTACTAAAGACACTAGAAGCATTATAGATCATGTTTATACTAATATTCCTAACATATATTTTCACATGGCCCTTGTCAATTCATCGTTAAGTGACCATAAACAAATAATTTTAGAACTTAAGAAACAAAAGCATAGAAAACCAGGAAAAATCGAATACAAAAGTGTGAACTACGAAAAATTAAGAGAAAATTTATCCTCTATTTCAACAAGAATACACGATGCAGATACGTATGATAAATTAGAGAATATACTAATAGATGAAATTAAGAAAAATACGGAAACCAAATATAAAGTATTGAACCCCCCACAGAAAGATTGGATAAAAAAAGAAATACTAGATGGAATTAATAAACGTAATCAGTTATGGAATGAACTATGTGAAAAGAAACAGAAACAGAATTACAAAGAAGTAGAAGATAAATATAATGAAGTTAAAGACAACCTGCAAACTTTGATAAAGCGAGAAAAAAAGAGATATTTTTTTAATGAATTTAATGCTCGTAGACACAAACCAAAAAAGATGTGGCAATTAATCAATGATTTGGTACATAATAAAATTAGAACAGAATTCGGTCCCGTAAAACTTTCTATCAATAATAATAATATAACCGATGGCATTGGTATCTGTGAAGCGTTTAATAGTTATTTTTCATCAATAGGATCATTGTTGGCAAGTCGTATTAGGGGTAACTCTCAACATTCTACTTATGACTACACTTTGTCTAATGCAACATCTAATAAACTTGAATATTTTCAACCATGTTCTCAATCAGAAATATCTAATATAATTGATGATCTTGATAGCAATAGTAGCTCCGCATATGATGGCATTACTACAAAAACAATTAAATGTTGCAAGAACATTATAGTACCTACTTTAACACTCTGTATAAACAATAGTTTAGCGCAGGGTATTTTTCCAGATAAACTCAAAATAGCTAAGGTCTCCCCAATCTATAAAAATGGTGTTAGAAGTGACCCTAGTAACTACCGACCGATTTCAGTGTTGCCTGTAATATCTAAAATTTATGAACGGATACTCCACACCCGACTACTTGGCTATTTGAATGATAGACAGTTCTTATACGACGGTCAATATGGATTTCGCCCAAGATCTAGTACACTTAATGCAACAATTGATCTTGTAACGAAAATAAGTGAAAGCATTGACAATAAGCAGATAGCTCTCGGTATATTTATAGATTTGAAAAAGGCTTTCGATACAATCAGCCATTCGGTCCTTTTAGAAAAGTTAAGTCATATATTAGGAGGTACGGCTCATAAGATATTTGAATCATATTTAAGTAACAGGCAGCAACTAGTAAAAATTAACAAACACGAAAGTAGCCTGACTAAAATCATGTGTGGTATTCCCCAAGGATCCATCTTAGGACCCTTGTTATTTTTGGTCTATATCAATGATATCAGTAAAATAGGCCTCAAAGGTAATATTTCTTTATATGCCGATGACACCTGTCTGTTTTACTTTGGTCATAGTATAGATAGAATTATAAATGAAACTCAAAATGATCTAAACATATTATCACGCTGGCTAAAATCTAATCTTCTAACTGTAAATATTGAAAAAACGTCCTACATGATTTTTTCTGCAAAAAATAAAAAAATACCATGTTTTGAACCACCTAAGATTGACAAAGTAACTATTAAGAGATCTAATCAGGAGAGATACCTTGGACTTATTTTAGATAATAGACTTACGTGGAAAGCTCACATTGACCATATTCGATCAAAGATATACCCGCTGATTGGTTTAGTGAAAAAAATATCCAAATGTATTCCCCATAAGGCTAAATATATTATATATAATGCTCTAGTCAAACCGCATTTAGACTATCTTATTCCAGTGTGGGGATGTGCAGCAAAGACCAACTTAAAACCTATAGTAACATGTCAAACAAAAATCATAAAATCTTTGTTTAATTATAAAACACTAACTTCTACTAAAAAGGTTTATGAAAATACAAAATTATTTAACATTTCTCAACTATTTACCTATCATACATGCATTTACATTCATAAAATTATCACACATAGCACACACAGTCAAACAACTTTTACGAAGAAAAATCACAGATACCAAACCAGAAATAAACATAACTTGTCACTACCCCAACCCCGAACTAATTACGGTAAAAATAGTTTAAGATTTACGGGTGCTGATCTGTACAATAAGTTACCTGAAAGTTTAAAAAACGCCCAGTCTATAAATATCTTCAAGAAATCATTAAAGTTCCATATTTTAGAATAAGTATAAGTTAATAATAAGCATGTTTTTATTATATATCACTGTTTCGTTTAATTAAAGTCCGATGCATGTAAACACATTTAAGTTTAAGCATTAATGTTTTCTCATTAAGTGAATATGTATATTCTTTGAGAAAATAAATTCTTTAAACCTTACATGTGTGTTGTTATTTACCTTCATTGTCGTTTATAATCTATACTTTAATATTATAAAGCTGAAGAGTTTGTTTATTTTTTGTTGTGTGAACGCACTAATCTTAGGAAGTAATGGTTTCAATTGATAAAATATTTTTGTCTTGGTTGTACCCTTTATCGAGTAAGGGTATAAAACATCTTTTGCAACAAATTTTAATGTCTAAAATAAATAAGACGAATTCCCTTGCACAACTAGTAAGAATAATAAAACTTTTTGTGCGCAGGCGGCCTTATGTCCTATGGTGATTTCTTCCAGACAACCTTTGCAAATAGAAACAACATGGAAAGGGAAAATATGAAATAAAATTATATACATATAATAATGTAATACATAGTATGTTCTGTGTAATAATAATTAAACCAGAATTATGAAGTACCTACCCACTGAAATACTCTAACCCAATATTAGTGAAAAAACAAAATCTGCTGATCATCTTATAATTGAAATGCTCTTTGTCCAATAACAGCTAATAAGATTTCTTAATCTCTATCTACAGGCATAGTTTTGTGTAAATAAAACACTTTTTACCGATATATATTAAGTCTGACGATGAAATGTTTCTTTTCTTTCCAGACGAGGGCGGAGGCAGCTCGGACAGTCGGTCTGACAGCAGCGAAGACGAAGTTACCGAGCACGTCACGGCCACGCCCCCACCCAACATGGCCGCTGCCAGGGCGCAGGTATGTTCTTGCCTATCAAGGAATTTTAGCCAAAACCAAGTATTCTTTTTTTTAAAGCAATTATTGTAGTTCATTATCCTTAAAATATTTTTAAACATAGTTATAATGTACTCATAGTTTACTCGAGTAAAACATTACAAATTAAAATAAAACTCCTTTAACGGTTTAAAACGCAAAATAAATTAGTAAATTTTGTTATGGCCCGTCATTTCGGTCCCCTCGTGACCATGTCTGCTGCAAAGCGTCCGAAATAGTAGCAACGTATATTTCGCTTTTTAAAGCGTTAAAAGTGTTTTATTTTATATTGTTATAATGTCTAAACTTAAAGAGAGACTCAGCTGTGAGTGCCAAGTCCTATTTGTACACATTTCTCTAATCACCAAAGATAAAATCTATTGGCTAGATGAACTATTTGGCAAGGTTGCCAATAGGTCGACTCCTTAAAGCCCAATCAATTAACATGATTAATGCAAGGATCGGTTGCGGTTACTCTGTATTAATCATGTCGGTCTGCGAGGGTCCACTTGGTAGGGAGAGCTCTGACCTCGTAAACGCCTAAATGGGCTTCCCTTTCGCCTAAAGTGAGTAATCTTTGGCTGGCTGCCAATTCTCTCCCTCCTGTACATTTAATGCTTTGGTTTTTCCTGTTTTGTCAAAGTACCACTAAAGACATCCTAGTCTATGTATTACACAATACAAAGATAACCGATTTAAAGACAATAGTTTTAGCGATAAAAGAGTGTTTTAAAACAAAAAGTGATATCCCGTTTATCCCCGTGAATGAAACGGACACAGTCTGTTCAACACTGTGTCCGTTTCATTGATAGTTTCTTCATAGCGAAATAGTCGATCAGATTTCTATACGCTGCCCGATCAAAATAATCTATTGCTTCTCTGGGTTGGAACGTAGGACCCGTCGCGTTTAATTATTTAGCTACAGAGCTAGTTAAAACACATCATTTGTTTTAATATATGTATGTGCGATAAATAATTCAGTTAGTTTGCATCTTTAAGTATCTGAAAGCGTGGTGTTTTTATGCTTTTAAAATGTAAAAATCTAATTTGACGGATTCGTTGGTGTAATGGTAGCAATGTACCTACGGCTTAATAATCAATAGGTCTGTCTAGTAGGTGAAAAAACTGTGAAATTTAATCGCATTTCGGTTTCAGTCTGTGGATTTCCTAATATCCATAGCCAAATAGGTCGATAGCGCATCTTATGTAGATGTTATATGACTGGGGTATTTCATATCCCTTCAAGAGAAGTTTAACAATATATGAGCTCGAAGCGTAGAACTGTGAAGCTAAATACAAAATGGACGGGGAGTCAGTTCCCCGGGTTATTAATTTAACATGAAAAGCTCGGATCTAAAAGCGAAATGGGAATTGTCGGGTGCTTCCCTTTATCAAGTGTCTCATTTGAATCGGGCTTGTACATGCTGCCCTAGTTGAAGCCGATTGATGTATTCTGTATGTGGTGTATTTTAGAAAAGGATTTAATTTTTTTCTGGATACAAGCACCATTGAGGTTCTTTACAGAATTTATTAATTGAATCATCATCATCTTTTTGCTGTACTATCTTTTTAATAACATTATTTGTGTATTATTCTCATAATATTCCTTCTCCTTCATACCTCTTGTCTTCAAAGGAAAAACCGATATTGTTTTGAATATGTAGTAGGTACATACGAATCTGTGCCTCAAAAATAACTTACAACCAAACTAGGAGTCGTTATTTAAAAATATTCTCAGGATATATTCAAGAGAATTTGATTTAATTACTACTAACATTTGTATGAAAACAAATACTAATGGACTACTGGATATTTTTTTAATGTGGTCCCCCAAACTCGGAATTGCAAGTCTTATAGAACTCAAAATTCACTTAAACTAAACACTTAAGACTGCCAAGTGTTTTCTATTAACTATCTTATTTATATATTAACTAATTTATGTTTGCTTACAATTTATGCCGGCATTGTTCCCTTCTTTTATTTAGTTTTTTTGAAAGTTTTGTCTAAGAAAAGGGGCTTAATTCATTTAACAGTAATAATATAAATTCTTATCTTATAAAAAATGTTTTGAGAGAAGATAATTATAATTGTGAAATGTTGTGGCATATTAATGTGAAGAATAGTTTTGTCCGCAGGTCCCAACCATTAGCGTGACGCCGCACAGCCCCGGAGTGCTGGATGACAGTCTACAGCAGCTACGGAGGCTTCATGCGGCTGTTCAGCGCATGAGAGCGGCGCCTCTACCCTTACTAGTAAGAATTCGTACTCTAAACGAACGTTATGATGTGCGTTACGGCATTTATCCTTTAAGTATCTTTTGAGTTTCTAGACCATAACATAGCATAAACCTATTAACCATAGTGTATCAAATTAACCTAATCATTTCTTGAGATAGGTATGAGGGACAGTAATAAAGCCAACTGTGATTTATTTTCGCGCCGAAATTTAGTCTTCTCTTCAAATAAGTAAAGTCGTATAAAACAAGGCAAAGTAGCGTTTTTCATATTGCTGCCTTTAAATGTTGAATTTATATTAGTTTTGTTATTTTTTATGATAGTAAGTTTAAAGTATTTATTATTGTATCAATCAGAAAACTGTATTAGGGTCTCTTTAAATTTTATACTTTAATTTTTGTTTTTCAATATAAAATCGTTTTATTTACATAGTAAGTTTTTGTTTAAATTATCATATAGAACTGTCACTTAAAGTGCCTAACGATTAGTGCTGTGGTAATAGATGATGATTTTGATCACCAGGCGACTGGAACGAGTAGATTGAGTACTTCGTGTCCATCTCTCTGCAAAGATGGCGTGGTGGAGACGGAGTGTTCGTCGCCGACGCATCTGGATTTCTACCCGCAGAGCAGAAAGGGTAGTGGTAAGTGTAGATCTGTTTTTTGCCCTGCGTTTGTATCTATATTTTATAGTTCTTGAAAATACAGCCTGATCACTAATTTTATAAAGATTTTGTTTGTTTGTTTGGACGCGCTAATCTTAGGAAATACTGGTCCGAATTCAATAATTCTTTTTCCGAATTTTGTGTTGGTTAGGTTAGGTTAGGGCATTTATAGAGGAGTTTTTTTTAAGCTATAAAATATTACGCTACCACTAAAAGGAGCGAAAGAATAATGGAAAACGTAGAAAATCGGGGCATTTATTCATCTTTGTGGGCTTCCGTTGCATGTGCTGCGAAAAAGGTTTAAGAAACCAGATAATATTCTGAAAGAATAATTCCTCTTTAGATGATCTAAAAAAAATCCACAACCGTATGTGTTGACTTGCAAGGACTACGGGACGCGACCGACGTCGTGACAGTTATATTGTAAAGATGAGAAATCTTGCAAAAACAAAATTTTATGTCCAAAATAACTATTCCACGCAGACGAAGTCGCTGGGAACAGCTAGTTATAGATAAATTTATGAGTCCTAAAAGTAACTTTTTAAAACAATAAGTAAACATTGGTTGAGTGAGTTGTCTACATTTACAGGCGAGTCCCGCCAGTGGATGTCATGGGAGCGACGCGATGAAGGGAGACGCAGCTCATGGGCGGCCCTCGAACCGACGCCTCCTCAGCATGACGCCCAGAGGCATAGAGGGTACAGAAATATATTATAGAGATTTATATTTCTGTCTAAATATCCAAAAAGAATTTAATAATACTTGACGGGCTCGTTTCTCTAATGGTATTAATGTATTTATAATCAAAGGGCCGTGGGTTCGAACCCCATTGAGTCCATGTTAAAAATTATATAATATTACTAAAACATGTTGGATGTGGTCAGGACAACTATCCACAGATGAAAAGGCCGTAAAGTTTAATAGTGTACCAATTTTAGTCTCTGGGTTTCCGTATATCTACAGCAAAAAATAGATCGACAGCGCATGGGCTGGGGAATTCCACCTTACATCGAATGAACGCCATGCTCTTGCTCAATGATAAAGAAATTACTGAAAACTTAACGTTTGACTGCAACTACATGAAAAGTTTAAGGGCGTCTTAAAAAATAAATGTATTGAAATAAATAATATTGTATTGTATTATTATAGTACAAGAGGCATTCGCATAAATCTAATAATTATATCTTCATGTTGCAGAGCATTGAACGGACACAGCGCTTCGCTGTCGTCTATGGAGTCCGAGGGCGAAGCGCCGCGACCTGTTCGACATTCGACGCATTCCTTGAACGACAACGATCTCGCTGTAAGTATTAGATGTCCTGTAACCAGTACATACTTCTCCAGTCATTGAAAATACATTTTAAATGCATTTCAAACGTGCCTTCGGATCGCAATGTAAAACAAAATAATGTTAAGCCACGCGTACTATCGAATTGTTTCCTTTGAAGTTTAGACTTTATGTTCGTTACATTGCTCGTGAATAGGACAGAGTACGTTGTAAGGTTGTTACGTTTTTTAGTTTCGTTTATTGTATTAAAAAAGGTTACATTAATTTTATGGCATTTGAAAACTGTTAGCGTTTTTTAATAATAACATTAGAAATTGCTAATGAAATTTTCACGTAACTTGTATTGCCTCATCAGAAAGAGTTCGAGAAAGTGACGGCAGCGTTACGCGGCGCTAGTAGCGCGGTCCCAAGTATTAACAGTTCCAGACTACTAGCGAGGCTACCGCTGCAGAAAAGCGTCTCCACACCGAGTATCGTGGCGGCAGTTCAACCACCACAGCCGCCTCCACCAGCTAATATGTATGTAAAAAATTATAAAATCTACTTATAACAGGTAATCCATTATTCACCCAACGTATAACTAAATGCACAGACTATAATTTAACGAGAGATAATAAATACATCGCGATTTGCTTTCGTGTTTGGAACTTTATATACAAGTATTGTCTGTATTTTATGCGAGAAGAACAGTTTTAAATAAAACACTTCTAGTGGAATGAAGAGTTAACTTATTCTTACGTATGCTTGTGTCGTAATACAAAATAAAGTGACTTAACTTATATTCTACTACCTAATTTAAATTTACCTAATTTTTTTATTACGAACGGACATACCACCATCATTTAACTATATATAAATTAAAATCTTCTCATTAAAAATGTAATCTAGCAAGTTTAACAATATTACGCTTTCTGAAAGATAAACATACGATCTTTTTAATATGACGCAACGCATGTCTAGACAATAATAAAATAAAATTACAGTGCATGTTTGAATTGAGTGTTGTGAGCGCACAGTTCGCTTTGCGTTTGATTTTGTTTCGCACAAAACCAGTGTTGAATTACTGGTATTTTTATACTGTTTTGTTGTTTTATTTTTTGTTTGTTTGCACTATAAGGTACTTTGTAAGACTCAGTCGTCAGAAGCCGCCACATACATAATCTAAAGTAATTTTGTACTATATTAAATCTCCTACAAAGTACCTTGTATTTTTTTTTCGCACCGCTTATCGTGGCATCTCGCTCGTGTTAGCCTATCAGCCGGAGGTGCGAGCGAGACAGAAAGCGATGAGGACGCATCCGCAGCTACTGTGGGCGCAACCTCTCAACTCACGGGGCGCAGAAATAATTCACATCAAGAACATTTGGGGTTGCACCGATTAGCATTTCTCGAACAGTGAGTATCTCTATCTCGCTTTAACAGTTTAAGACACTGGGTGCGAGCAGGACAGAACACATCAATCGGATTGTATTGTTCCGATTTAGCTTATAATTTATTTATCTTCTAGAGGATGATAAGTAGGTCCTTCAAAATTGTGAGTGTGTAGATATAAATGAGTTTAAAAACTTTTTTACATGTTATTGCACATGATGGCATTATATAAATTAAAAATCTATTGCGAACAGCAGCACGAATGCTGCGGGTGCCCGTACGTAAATGAATTTTTAATTTATGTAAATGAGTTATTTAAATATGCGTTTTATTTAAATAAAAAATTGATTTCGATTATGATAATAGTGGTGCATGCTTTGGGCTTTGCTTAGTGTGACTTTTGACAACACTACTGTTACAAATATTTGAAAAACGCATCTCATTGTTGTCTTTTAAACAGAGCTGCGTATGACCATCACGCCGAAAAGCGACGGAAACGCGGCAGTCTATTCTTCAGGAAGAAAAAGGTGGGATTTGAATTAAAATATTTTTTATATGAATTGTTGGGTTACCATAATAATAAAATCAATGGTTACTTGCTCTTTAGCTCAATTATTTAACTAGAATTGGCATTGCAAAGGTCAAGAGGTCCTGGGACCGAATTCAGAGGGAAAAAGAATATTACGATCGAGCAGACCACAGAAGTGGGATAATTTATTTGTCTGTTCATAAAATTGTTCGGTGCAAGGACGAGATGTGTATTTGGGGATTTCTTCCTGTCTTTAACTACACAAAGTACTTCACTTGTTATTAAATACGTATGTTTTAATTATAGGACAAATCTCGGAAGGCAGCGCACGTGTGGCAGGCGGCCGTAGCGGGGGGACACTGCGACTGGTGTCAACGGGAACTGTCCGATAAACCGGCTCTGTACTGCGAAAGTGGGTGTTATTCATCATTTGGTACTCGTAATCAAAATAGCTGTCCTATCTAATTGATAAACTTGATTGGGTCTGTAACATTTACAGGACAAGATTTGCTGCGGGAGGTAACTTTGCCACCGTCCGTCATTTTGTTGTCTTTTCGTGGTAGTTTTAGATACGCTGCTTCGAAGCGTTAAAACAGTGTACCACTGCCTGTTTGTGAGCTGAAATCTGTGACAGCATTAAAAATAACAAAAAATGTCATTAGTTGTAAATGGTTACTTCTTAGCTTTTGTTGTACGCTTGATACTACAAGGAGTAGAGGACATACTCGTTCGAGTATTAAATTGTGTAATCGACTTATATTAGAAATGCGTTAATCTATACTTCTATCCTAGTAATTCCATTTAATTTAGTCTAATGCTTTTTCAGATTGTACCATGACCGTGCATCAAAATGTATGCAAAGACTACATTGTTGAGTGCAATAAACCAAAGTCATCGAAGGTACGTTAATATCTAATCTAAAAACAGCAAATAAGATTAGAGGGGATTCAAAGAGAGTTGGATTACTCTATATTCTCCGTAAAGTGTGGGGGAAGTAAGGTTTTTGTTTAAATGATCAGTAATTATTGTGGATTTATCACCCTTTCTTTAGTCCGCAGCAGAAAAAATAACAATTGTAGCATTTGAAAATCGGGTCGTAGTTAAAAAAAAAGGTCACAGGAAATATTTAGCTTTTAAACTATTCAAAATACTTTGTATAAAAATGTTTAGCGATCGTTAATCAAAAATATTTTCGTTCTTATAAAGAAATAATTTTTCAGACGACCGTGGGAAAGTCGTTGAGTGCCAGCAGCGGCAAAAGCAGCAAACGCAGTTCCGTTTCCGGTCAATCGCAGAACTCAAACAGGTGAGTGTCACAGATGTAATCGACTGATGCAATTTAATTTGTAAATAAACGGATAAACACATTAAACATTTAACTATAATTTATATGGCATATGTTTTGCTGCTTTATTTTTTACATTGCAACTTGGCGAATATCGGGAGACGCCATTTTGTGCTGTTTGACGCAAGTTTTTGTTTGCGATTGGATTTGCTGATGTGGGTGGCGCTGTGTTTACACGCTATTTTAAGTATTAGTAAGGACTTCTAGCCTAAACAAAAAAAAATGGATACAATTAAATAAAACCGATTACCGATACTTTAATAGTCTGTGTAAACAGCGTATTTAAATTATTTCGAAATAGGTGATTATCATCTATGCCAAAGGTGATGTTAGAAGATACACAAGTATGATTACACGATTTGATATATCTCCATCCTTTGATCTGTTTACTTCAGAGCTATCTTTCGGATTATCTGTGCGTTCCTCTCAGTTCCGCCTTCTTTTGGTTTCTGATTTTCGCCCTTTTTGTGAGCTGTTTTCGTTACTTTTTAATTTTTTTCCGGTTCTAAAAAAATTACTGAAATTCGCTGTGGAAAGATTGAGGTATTTATATGAAATGGTATCAACATTTTTACAATAATTTTTGAAGAGGACACAGTGTACAATCCAAAGTACTCCGTGGGAAGGAAATGGGAAAATGGATGAAATGGTTAGCAGATAATGTGACCTGACCACCCGGTTCTCTATCGGTGTCCTGAGGAGATAATAATAATAATAATTGATAAAGATATGACGATGCGAACACCTCGATGTTTCCACACCCCCGTCCCCTACTACCGTATTGGCTCAATACTCGTATTTATGATCAGCAAGAAGTCGAGCGGCTGCTACTCGCCGTGGCGGCGTGTCGCCACCAAGCTTGGCGTGCAGTAAGTGCACTAATTGGTATCGTCTCTTCTATCATTCGTTCCACCTATAGATATGGTTCTTATGCCCTTGCTAAAAAAACAACTCTAAAGATATAAAGTATTCAGAAAATCCGTTTTCTCAAGTAAAAATATGTTTCTTGTTCCTATTTTTGAACAGAAACAAAAAAACTATAAATTGATATACACTTTTGTTGGTTCCTTATAATGTCTTGTAATTTATAATGAATAAAGTAATTATGTAAACTAGCAATAAAAATGCATGCTGTCCATACTGTTATAGTGTAATATCTATATGTGGACCCTACTTATCGACTTACTCTTCGTCATCGACTTCATATCGTGCAGGTTTTTGTTAGGTTGACGTTTCGTTGTTAATTTGATATCATGAGTTGCCGAATACAGCGGAGCCTCTAGAATTCCTTTTTTCTTAACTTACGATAGTATTGTACTTACGATAATAACTGTAATAGACCAAAAATAAATACTTTCGTTATGTCGATACGTGTAACTTTGGTATGTTTCCAAATTTTTTTGGCGTCTATCACGTAGAATCTTTTCTAATGCATCCGTCAGGGATGCATTTTAGTCCCACATTAAATTATTCTTTTCACGAATGACGTCTTGTATATGTTGTTCCGAAGAAAGGCAATTCTAGAGCTACCGCGTTCATATAGATCTGTCGTCGTCATCAAACATTGAATTCAGCTCCTTCTAGTTCGTTTACTTACAAGCCTTACTTGTGTATCTTTCTATTTCTGACGGTAGTTTGGAGTTCTCTTACCAGTTGTTGTCGTAGTTAATGTTGAAGTTATGATATTTGCATTTTGTGTTGACAGTTCAATTATTTCAAAATCAAAAAATGGGATCTTCTGTACCCGAATGCGCTGAAACCTACAGGAATTTAACAGTTTTTATTTTACATCTTTCCATCATCCTATTTGGTTCAGCCGTTTTTGCATGAATTTTTGACACTGTATTCATGGTCTACCAAGGCTTGTTATTATAATTTAGGCTTCGCTGCGAATTGCGGTATAGTTTGAATGAGTCTGTCTTGAATTTAAACCTCTCGTATCATTTGTCGCGTCGGCTGTAATTTGATCCTTGTCTACTCTTAACATAACTATGAATAGCAACACAGAATAATACACATAGTTAATACTTCACTTTTTTTTTAATTTGCGTCTACTCTACCTTTGGATTCACATCATTCGAACCTTCTAATTCCACAGGTGTGGACAGCTTTTCGTTCATCTCTATAGTTTTCATTATCCTGTGTTGCTGTTATCCCAATACATTTTATTTTAATTCTCATAGCCATACCTAATATTTCAGCACAAGTATATACAATGATGAAAAGGACGGCTCTGATCATAAACACGATCAAAGCAAGTGAGTACTTTCATACTTTATTTTCCATTTTAAGGCTTGTAGACTTAATTTACCTTTAGTTAATATGTGACAAAAACACCCGGCATTATTTAGCGCTTTGCGAATGTGCTAGAAGAACCCTTTAGTTTTTGAAGCCTTTTTTATTTTCATTACTGCACATGCAACATTAAAAATAACAATAAAAGTACATCTTAAGTGATGAATTAAATTATTGATTTAAAGCTTTAATAAGTATTTGGAAAACGCCTCAGTGTGAAAAAATCACTGATTTGCTATAAAGCTTTGAAACAAAGCAACATAGTACTATTTATGGTGCTATACAGAACTGCATATTATAAGAAAACGTAAATTTTTGGTAACGATTACTAAGTTTAAGGCATACATCTTATAAGATTTAAGCTTTATAAAGGATTCTGTATGATCTGATTAATCAAATAAGCTAGCTATTTTGCTAGTTGTTATAACATTGTAGGATATACTGAACTTCAATTAATTTATATCTTTGGAGAGATCGACGAACGATTGATATTATATGGTTAGGGAAAGTAAGCCAATCAGCTCTAGACTGACTGCTGCCATCCACAGGGGACTCAGTGGGATACTTAGTGTCTTTGGTTCTCTTAATAAAGGCCCAAAAGACCACTTAGCAAGCTATTGAGTAGGCTTCTTTCCTTTACTACTATAGTTTTTTAGTTGTGTTAAAATCGATTTTTCTAAATTTGCTTTATTTCGTAGTGCATCTGACGACGGGGTGACAGAGTGGCCCGAGGTTTACATTACTCCAGATCAACTGGGTGAAGAGGCAATACTGCTCGGGCTTGGTGCTGCTGAGCCGGAAACTTGGGCCGCTGGAGCACCTAAAGGCTTGGCCAAGTAAGCATATAGAAAAATTTGCTGTATCCACGATTTCGCGTGGAATAGTTATTTTTATGACAGACGACGGTAGAAAAGCACTGTGTTTACTTGGTGTGAGGTGAAATACGATCGATCTATTTTTGGCTTTTAATATTCGCACTTATTTTGGGCATCGTATTATTTATTTTTTTTAAACGCCTTTGTAGCTAAATAGTTAACGTGAGAGGTTTCGAATCCCAGGGAAACAAAAAAAATGTTTCTGTCGTGCAGGGCACTGAAGTCTGATCTGAACTACTTGTTTGTTAAAGAACGAATCAGTGAAACCGACACAGACATGTGTTCTCCCCATGCCCCACCATGGAGAAAAGGGATTTCGACTATTATTTATTTTTGCAAAGAACCTCCTCAAGTTTATAACTTATTGACGTCTTCCGCTTACCTGGAGTTAATCTTAAAAGTTAAGCATACTGTGGCAGACGTTTTTTAGATGATTTAAAGAAGAATCTTTCACACATTATTTTTGGTTTGTTACTCTTCAACCTTTTTCGCAGCGCACGCAATAGACGCCCTTATTTCTTTTTCACATTTCTCTCTGTTTTGTCGCTCCTATTGGTCTAAGCCTGATATTTTATGAAGCCTAAAACCTTTCTCCATAAATAGTCTTACAAAAAAAAATCCAATTCTAACCAGTAGTTACTAGATTAGATTCGCGCGTACAGAAAAATGAGTTTGTTTATTTTAGTAGCTTTCAGCTTTATAATATTAGTATAAATAAAGATTGCAAGACATATTTTTTTTCTCCGTTGGTTTCTACCATAGGCTCACCACATCATCACCAGATTATAAATACAAACAAATGTACCCTGATCAGAATTTACGAGTATGCCCTTTTTATATCGCTGTCACATAACAATATATTAAAAAATAAACTGTCGCGAAATGTATTAGTTAAACTTATTTTTTGTTAAATACTGTCTATAGTTTACGCGAGTAGTACACATTTTACTGTTTAAAACGCGATATATTAGTTAAACTTATTTGAAAATGATTTTTAACTTCGGCCCGACGTTTCGGATGCTTTGCAGCAGCCGTGGTCACGGGGATACGTCGGGCCGAAGTTTATTTATTTATTTATTTATTTATTTATTACATTATAAAAATATTCTAACATTACAGAACAATGTCCATTGCGATAGAATTATTTAATACATATTTCATGGAGTGATGTTTTTGTCAATTCACCCAAGCTACACGTAAAAATGTCGATCCCCTCCTGCAGCTTGTTGATAACACGCATAGCACGAACAAGAGGGGATTTCATCAGTAAGTTGGTGCGTGAGTACGGTAGCGCAAGTAACGGTGGTCGTAATCGCCTCCACACGTATCGGTCCGGAACAGACAAGTGTAAGGACTGTAGAACTCCTGGGTTCAACTCTCGACCCCGCAATACTTTTACTAGATATATCACAAGGAATAAGTCCCTCCGTACCTTCAATTCATTGTATCCGACCATGCCTAATACAAAAAGAGTCGGATACATTAAAGGATAATATGGATATACTCCATACATTCTTTGGTACAAATGCCTAACAAATTTGTTTTGAATGCGTTCCAACATGAGTTTGTATTTTTCTTCGGCCGGGGCCCAAATAGAGGAGTTAAAATCTAAATGGCTACGCACCAATGCGTCATATAATACCCGCACCGCAGCCATATTCGTAAAGTCCTTGGTTTGTCGTAAGACAAAACCAAGGTTTCTATATGCTTTTTGGCAAATATTTATAATATGTTCACGAAACGTTACGTCGTTCGTGAATAAGACGCCTAGATCCCGGATTCGAGTCTCTCTTCGTATGCGGGTTGTCCCTATGGTATAATCGAATTTAACAGATTTACAGGCGCGTGTAAAACTGACGACAGAACATTTATCCAAGTTAAATTCTAGTTTATGTTGCAGACTCCAGGTGTATATCTTTTGGATATCGCTTTGTAAGCATCTGCAATCGTTCACGTCTTTAACTTGTAAAAAAACCTTCAAATCGTCCGCGTACAGTAAACACTTGCTATGCTCTACGACTGATGGTAAATCATTTATCGTGACGACAAACTCGAAAGGTCCAAGGTTCGAACCTTGACTTATTCCAGACCTCGTAAAATATGGCTGCGATTGATGCCCCCCATAGTCTACATATTGCTGCCGATCACTCATATAAGAAGCCCAGAACCGAAGAAGTCCAGGAGTGCATCCTACCTGTGCCATTTTTTGTAATACTACGTCATTTTCCAAAATGTCGAAAGCCTTCCTAAAGTCGAGGTATACGACGTCGACTTGCGACCCAGCATCAACCGTCGGAAATAAATAATTCACGAGGTTGAGCAGATTCGTGGACGTCCCACGCCCCGAACGAAAACCATGCTGAGCATCAGATAATTGAGGCGAAACTTGCTCATACAAACTACGGTGGATAGCCGCCTCAAAAACCTTCGCCGCTGTAGACAACACAGCCACCGGCCTATACTTGTTTACGTCGGAACTCTGTTTACCTTTCGGAACAGGTGTAACTCTTGTTATTTTCCATTGCTCGGGATACACCTGTGCCCGTAAACAAGAGTTAAAAATGCAGTGGAGAGGCTCGGCCAGGACTCTGGCGCAATCCTTGAAAAGAAAGGCTGGAATGCCATCCGGGCCAGCCGAACGTTTAGGCTTTAGTCGAGATAAGGCTTTTCTGACCTCCGCTAAATTAAGGGAGTCCAGCTGTACCCGTGCACTGCTGTTCCCGTATGTACCTGCCGCGTCAACATCTAACAGAGGCTGCTGAGTGGCATAAACGCTTTTAAAGTAACGCGCAAACTCTTCAGCGCACTCAACACCGGTCAGTTGTTTTCCATCGCTATCGGTTATAGTAAGCCCATTTCCAGAACCCCGTCTTTCTTTTATATATTTCCAAAAAATAGTAGGATTCTTGAAAAATTGACTTTGAATTTTATTAATATGACCCTCATATGCAGTCCTAATGTAATTTTTTACTATTTTCCGACATGAGGAAAATTCAATATAGTCACTCGATAATTTAGTGGTTTTATATTTTTTATGAAGACTAGCTTTTAACCTAATTTTATCAATTATTTCCTTTGTGAACCATTGCGGATACTGTTGATAGGATAAATTTTGTTTGACCCGTTTTTTAGGCACGCATTCGTCTAATAAATTATATAAAACACTATAAAAATAGCCTAACATATCGTCCGTATTTTCCATATTGCAAATTTCGCCCCAATCCACCGAACCCAACCTTTCGTATAACCGCGTATAGTCCGCTTTGTAGAAATTCCACGCCGCCCGAGTATTACCAACGCACGCCTTAGGTTCAGTGGTGTGCAACTGATGAACAAGATGGCTTCCGCTCGACGCGACGAAAGCGAAGCGCACGCGCACCTCGAGCGGGGGGTGGTACGCATCCACCGGCACTAGCGTCTCGTCTGCCGCCGACACATGTACAGCCGACTCCGCCCCGACATCGAACCCCGCACCCAGCACCATATCTAACTGACGACCTAGGCTATTAGGCACGTTATTATATTGGGTGAATTGACAAAAACATCTGAAAAATTCGAAATAACTTACAACACTAGAAGGGCTAGAAAACATATTAAAATCGCCGATAACAATATTTTTTTTATACCTACTACATAAATGCTCTAGTATACGGAATAAAAGCATATATTCATTCTCACTGCTATTCGGTGGAATGTAAATTACGCTACAAAAAAACAAAAAATTGTTATTTAAATATATAGTAGCACAAGCCACTTCAAAATTACATTTGTCTATAGAGATACCTAATGATCCAGAGTTCCGCACTGGGCGCAGTTCAAAGCGCGGTGCCGCCACAAGCATTACGCCGCCTTGCTTACGTCCATCTGCCCTGTCGCATCTCAGAATATGATATCCGGGTGGTACGATTTCCGAATCATGGATGGACTCATTGCAACCCGTTTCAGTGATGGCATATATGTCGGACTGCAATACATGTATGTTTGTACGGAACTCGGTTAATTTTGTTCTCAGGCCCCTAACGTTTTGATAGTAAAGCTTTATATTTCTAACTATTTTGTGCTTTTCGGGACTTGCGAAACCAAACCCACTCGCTGAACTCCGCATTGACAGGCCACGTTTCCGGTTGGTTTAGTTTAGCATACAAATTTTCAGGAACGCCAACAATAAACGAAGCATAATCCCTTTGTGATTTATGTTTGATTTTTTCTACCTTTATCGAACAACTCGAGCCGCATATATTTTCGACATAATTGTTCATTGTTTCGAGAGTAGTTTCGGGATGTAGGCGCCAGACGTGTAAATACTTTTTCCTCTCCAAGCCCTTTAAAGTTGCACACTCGACGTTTTTCCCTACATGCACGGCGTGATATTGCTTTAGCCTAGACGACTGCTTAATCGGCTGCTTAGTCGGCTGCTTAGTCGGCTGCTTAGTCGCCTGCTTAGTCGTCTGCTTAGTCGTCACACTCCGTTCACATCCTGCCTTCGGTACAATCTTTCCAACGCTGTTTTTGTCGGACGAAGACTTAGGCGGCTGGGATGCGCTTTTATTAACCATGACCTTTGAGTTTTTAGACGGCGTTGGCTCAAGAACGCCTTGGGAGCTTCTTGTTTCAGAGTACTTGTTATTTAATAACGATTCCTCCAAATTTCGTAATGTTTTTAATATACAATCTAGGCTAGACTTAGTTTCCTGAAATTGCGTTTGAAGGCATTTAATTGCTGCTTCCTGGCTTTGTAGACGAGAAACCATATCGCTGCGCAGCTCTTTCAGTTGTTCTATAACTAAATCTTCAGTCTGAATTGGTGACGACCCACGTAATCGCGCTCCTCTTTGCATATTGATATAATCAGGTGACGCAAAAGATATAGAAGTATTGGGGCTATTCACACATTCTGAGCACATCCACTGCATCTTATATTCGCCGGTAAATGCATTAAACGTTAAAAATCATTTTCAAATAAGTTTAACTAATATATCGCGTTTTAAACCGTTAAAGTGTTTTATTTATTTTTTGTTAATTTAATTTTGCTTTGCAGCAGCTGTGGGGGGGGGGACAGTATATTTTTTTAAGTGTTTAAGTTATATATACATAAATAAAGACTAATTCATCGCTATTTTAGTTAATCTGTATTGATACATTTTAATATAATTTTTTTATCTTCTAGGAGTATTGGAGAAAGGGAAACAAAACGACAAGAGCACATTTACGAGCTAATACTAACTGAGAAACACCACTGTCTCACAATAAGGTTAATGCAGAAGGTAAGTAATAACAAGCAAAGAGGATTCAAGGCAAAAATAAAAAGAATAATTTATCACTACTGCATTTCGCCGCGTGCGCATTTTACAATTGCTGATTGTTTCGGTCGGGCAGAACAGAGACTGGACTAATTAGCTTTTTAAATTACATCGAGTGACATGTCCATAATCCATGCCATCAAATTTCATAGATAGGGGTGCAAAAGATTGGCACAATAGTTATTGGTCTATGTATGATCATTTACGTTCGTCAGATTAAAAATCAAATAAAAAATGTTTTTTTTATTATTGGGTTGGCACTAGTCCCCACACTAGGGCAAGTTTGTGTCGTTTGTGACTAGTCTCTTCCAGGCTATAGGTTACATAAAAATATCTAAGCTAACTTATGTCTACTTACAATTAGTGTATTAAATAAATGGATATTTTCATGTTGTGTGTGTCGTATGGTGCAAAAAGCGAGCTATAGTTGGCGGGGGGAAATGCTCTTTTACATAAAACACTTTAACGGTTGAAAACATAAAATATAATGACTTATTTACAATTTACTTTAACTATGACCCGAGTATCGTCAACGACAATCTGCCGATAAGCCGACCTGAAGATGGCAGGTGCTCCTAATGTCAAAATCTAAACTGTTACAAAAGACGCCATCTGTTACTATAAGCATAGGCCAATTAATTTATTTTACATTTCTACCATTAAAAGTGATTTGTTTTAAGCCAAAGTTTTTCATCAAAATATTTAACTTGTGTATATTAAAAATATTTAGTTTGCAATGTAAATATCTTATTGGTGAAATGGCTGGCATAAGGTATTGATGAAGGTTTGGTTATCGTTCACAGATGTTCGTAGAAGGAATGACCCGCCTAGCGGGAATTTCCGACTCGCAAGTGTCGAGAATGTTCCCGCGCTTAGATGAACTGTGGTGCATTCACGCTGCATTATTATCCCGACTGCGCGCGAGGCAGCGAACGGCGCCGCGAGTCAACACTATAGCTGATATACTGGCTGATGCGTTCGCCTCCCCAGATCATCATACGCTGAAGGCTGCTTATGGTAAGGATGGAGAAGAAAAAAAAAGAACCCGTGTATTGTTTACTCGTATTATCTTACTCATTATTTAATGTATCTTTAGCAATGATACAATTTCTGTTTCATACTACTACTAATATGTTGTTTTTAATGTATAATAAGTGATTATTTTATTTCTTATTTATATTTACCAGTAGACGTGGTCACAAAGGGGACTTCGAACACGCCTTTATTATTTAACTAATATATTTCGATTCTTAAACCGTTAAAAATCTCACTCCTTTATCTAAATAGTACTCCTCATGTCAGCTACAGACAATACTTACGCTTATTAAACTTTTCTTGATTTTAGGTGAATTCTGCTCCCGCCACCGCGATGCTGTTGACGTGTTCAAAGAGTGTTGCGCCCGCGAACCCAAGTTGGCGAGATTCATCAGAAAGTGCCAACAGAACCCGCTTCTAAGAAAGAAGGTACGTACACGGTACGGTGGCAAGCGTTAGTGTAGGACGACCATTATGGACTGATGATATAAAAGAGTAGCCAGGGGACTAATGATTTGATTAAAATAGCCTAGGGTCGGAGCATATAGATGAATAGGGCTCAAGAGAGGACCGAGTGTATACCTTGGGAGATGCCAACGTCCAGTTATGGAAGCATACCAGATGTGATGATAATTATATTTGTGGGAACGCAAAAGTAGCATATTTGAAATGTTGCTTTTATTCGTATAATCTATTATTAGTATAAATCAATATAATTATTTCCGTTTCTATATTTTTTCCTATGCAGCTGAGTCAGCGACTTCGTCCACATAGAAAAGTCATTTTGGGCATTGTTTTTGCAAACTGTTACCTACGTCGTCAGATGCGTACCGTCGTTCTTGCGAGTTCACCTTAAGAGATAGACATATACTGTCGTGGACATTTTTTTTGAGTATCTTGACCCTTTTTCGCAGAGCAGTTACGCATCGGAAACCTACATAGATGAATAATTTTCCCTGTTTTTACCGCATTTCCTGCCGTTTCTTCACTCCTATTAGTCACAGCGCAATGTTTTATAGCCTATAGCCTTCCTCGATAATTGCTTCAACCAACGCAAAAAGATATTTCAATTCGAACCAGCAGTTCCTGAGATTAGCGCATTCAAAGAAACTTAATATTATTATTATTATTATTAGTACAGATACATAATGACTAAGGTACAAAGAGTTTTTTATTAAATAGTATCGAGCGACAAAACGTACAGACGAGCAGTCTTTGTATTTTTAATTCGTACTTAGTTCATCTCAAACACGGCTGCTAAATTTTTATACAGGGTGTCCCAGAATGCGTCCTCTTCGTAGCTCAAAGGCTAACGAAGTATCCCTTGCTACTGGAACCACTTTTGAAGACGGCGGGCGACGATCTCGCGGAGAGAGAATTGTTGCAGAAGGCGTTGTGTGGTGTGAAGGTAATGCGTAATATATATCATTAAGCATGGTAAAATTAGATAATACATTTTTAACGGTTTAAAACTAGATCTGTACTAGTTAAACCTTTAACAACAACACCCCGAAGTTTCGTATTCGAGACAATGTAAAACGTCCACCTGTATATAAAATAATTTGTAAATAAGTCCCACTAAATTTCGCGTTTTAAACAGTTAGCTTTTAATTGACTAGTTGGTCTAGTGGTTCGGGCACTGACTTCTACGACCTCTCTCTCTAAGAGGGGACAACTGTTTCCATTGTGGAGCATAAATAAGTTCAAACAGTAAAATATTCCTTATTGGACCACAAATCGCTGTTCATAGATGTAAAGCGCGTATACGTTTAGCCTTTTGATCTTTTATCGCTGCGGTATTTCTGATTCGATCAATTGAACCACCAGGATTGTTTGTATAACGTATGATTGTTCTATAGGAAATCCTAGTTGACGTAGATAACCAAGTTGCAGCCAAAGAGAGGGAGGATAGAAAGCTGGAAATATATCACAGGATAGACGCGAAGTCTTTTGCCAATTTTCGTGGTAGAAAATTCAAGAAGAGCGACATACTACAGGGGAATAGGAGTCTGAAGTAAGGATAAACATATAGTTTTTGAACTCAAGCTATAAGGATTTGCTTACAATCAGTTCCAGGTCAACACAAGACCAGAAAGTTAAATGAAATCCAAACTAACTTGCAACCAAAATTTTTAATATCCTAGCAAGATTTAAATAATTTTATATTTACACTGATGATAATTTATTTAAATGGAAATCATTTCGTTAGTAGTTTTTCTTTTCAATCCTTTTTGTTGCAAATTTCCTTACTATTACTACATAAGGTTTTTCTTATTATTAAACTAACCATTTTTATGTCTAATATTCCAGGTTCGAAGGTGTAGCAACACTTATGCAGGGTAGAAGTAAAATGCAGACGTTGCTTGTCATAGTTCTAACGGACGTTTTATTTTTTCTGCACGACAACAATAACAAGTATACGTTTTTCACGCCTGACAACAAAGTAAGAATACTTATTTTAATAATCTAGATTCTGTAGATTATCTGTATTCTTAAATGCCCTAAAGCATTATTATAACGTGTTACATACTTGTGACACGCCTATAGTTTTAGGCGTTTTTTTTTAAGTTAGTTGAATTAGTGTGATTTTTAAGTTATGTTATTTGCCTTTTACAACCAAGTTGATTTACATACCCAATATTTGAGTGATTAGAATAATGAAACAACTCACCTAGAAAGCAAAAAATAACAAAAAAATAAAAACACAATTTGTGACAAACAAACAAACAAGAATAACAAACGAAAAGTCGAATTTTGTCCAATAATCTAATATGTGGCATAACTTGAACCGCTTAAGACCCTACTTAAAATATACAAATTATAATAATGGATACTGTCAAGTGTCTGTCCTCCTCTACAATAAAAAAAACTTAACATATAGTAACAGATTATAGAGTAAAAGTATGTTAATATGTTTCCCCACAGACGGGAGTGGTTTCACTATGCAAAGTGCTGGTACGAGAAAAAGCGGGCGCGGACGGCCGCGGTCTGTATATAATCTGCAGCGGACCATCTGATCCGGAAATGTTCGAGTTGAGAGTGCACAGGCCCAAAGATATCGCCAATTGGATTCATGCTATCAGGTATGGAAATGCAGAGGACGTTGGACTTGACTTGTCCGTATCACGTTTAATTCGATTTCATCCAGGGTATTCCACCGGGCTACCATTAAGAGCCCAATGTATTGTAGTTGTTTATTTTATTCTTCTTGCAAAATTAATTAAATAGATACATTGTATGTCAACTTAATATACTAAGTGTCGTCCATCGTTTTATATATAATATTTTCTTACCTAATAAAAAAAAACTATTTTTAAATTAAAAATATATTTAAGATTGAGAATATAGATGATACGAGCGGGACTCCAATCTCACATCACAGCGTTCAGTACGCTCTATCAACTGAGCTACAGTACCCAACTCCTCATCATCGAATTTGCTGAGCGCTGTAATTTGAACCTTAACGCATACCGTCTAAGGTTCACTGTCCCTATGTCTTGCAGCGTACTAACAAATTGAAGATGAAATAAAAATTTATAAGTCCATACAACAACAAATAATAATTACAACGTAGACTCAATCAATGTTTATGAATCTGTAATTCGACAGAGCTGCAGTCCAAAGTTGCCCAGAAGAAGTAGAAGAAAGCGAGGCCGGTCCACATGTGCCCTCCGCTGAAGAGAAGCAGCGGCTTTTGGAGGCTAGACACGAGAATATAAGACTGATTACTGGTGAGTGTGTAAATATCCTCAGTCTGAGAAAAAGTATGTTTATTTATTGTATTGTAAACGCGCAACATTGTGTTTTTCTAACATAAATTTGTAAGCCTATATGATGAAAACAAAGTAATTTTGGGTTTTGGTGGGTTATAGTAGTTTGGTGGTCAGCGACATCTAGCAATCGATTAAGTACTGATACTTTGGTGGTATGGTTTTTATATGGTGGTGCGTTATAGTTTGTTTTAAGTAAAGGCTCTTTTATAAATAAATTCTTTGTCACTCAGGCGAAACGCCTCACCGGCACATCGAAGGTGAATAACTTTCGTATTAGTTATGATAACTTGCATGAAAGCATGACTCTATTGACTCTTACTTTATCTCTTTTCTACCTAAAGTGTTTTACATTCTACCTCAAGAAAAGCTACTATGTACATATTTCGTTTATTGTAAACCTTGTACAAGATTAGTCATTGTAAAATAGTGTAATTTTTCATTAATTGAGAAGTTATCACTAATATGATGATGTATCCTTTCAGAGGCTCTCCGCGCTAAGGACAAAGAACACGCGGTTCTTTTAGAAGAGAAAATGGCTCTGCACATGAAGATGTTCGGGCACACCGGAGCGTCTACTTTGGAACTGCCCAATACCGGTGAGTTTTATTAAATCTATATCTTTTTATGGTTGAGGAGGACAGACAATGGTCCAGGCATACCCCAGTCTCTCACCTTCCATCAACCCATATAACATCTAAACAAGATGTCCTGCTGACCTATTGTGGCTTTATATATTCCGATATCCACAGAGTAATCTTTTTATCTGTGGACGGTTCGTGACCCTGATGGAATTTCGATTGTCCTACGACCCATTTAATATTCAGATTTCCAGACGAAGCCCAATATGTTTTTTTAACTGATTAAAAAAAGTATGTGGCCTCCGTGGTAACCCATGACCCGTTGATTTTTAACCATACATTGCTACCATTACACTGATGAGCCCATCAAAATGATGATGATGAAGATGTTATGTTGAGTAAAATAGTAAACGATTTCTTTTTCAGGCGTGACGACGGTATTCCCAGGAGGATTAGTGTTCCCGGACTACGTGCGAGTGGCGGCTCCTACACCGGACACGCATGCGCTGTGGCAGGAAGTCTGTAAAGTAGTTAAAGTGAGCAAAATATCCTCTCTTGAGACTTTTACTATTTTTATACTTGACGTTCTACAGATGTACGGTATGTTTACGTTTCGTTCAGAAATACAACATCAAAATTTTAACATTTTTTACATGTGGTATATAAATTAAAAAAAAAACAATTGTAAATTAAAAAAATTTACGATACTCTTGCATGTTTTTGTGGTGAAAAAGACACGATAGTTACTCTTCTCGTCTTCCAGGTGACAGTTGACGTAGTTTCAATTCAGTAGTGGTGTAATTATATGGTAATAGTAATACTTTAATATCTATCAAGGACGCGTTAGAAGTGTGCAACGCGTACAGCACGTTCAACACCCACGGAACAGTCGGCGGAGTCGCCGTGGGGCGAAGCACCAGTTCGGCAGGAGAGAAACATTCCCTCGCCTACGAAAGCCCCGCTTTGCCACGACGGGCTGATACCTTTGCGGGGTTCGACGCCAACAAACATCGTACCCAAGGTAATTACTAGTAGGCAAAAAATATTGCTACGTAAATTGCGCAAGAGTTTACACTATCGTTCATCTTTTTTTATTGATAGAGGAGGACAGACCAGCATGGGATTCACTTGATGGTAGGTGAACTGTCCCAGCCTATAGCATCTGAACAAGATGCACTGTCGACCTATTTTGGCTTTGGATATTCGAGAAACCAGAGACTGAAACCGAACCGTCATCAAACTGCACGGTTTTTTCATCTGTCGACGGTCGTTCGTGACCCGGACGGAATTTCGATATTCCTACCACACCTTTTAATATCCAGATTTTCAGACGAAGTCCGACTTTCCGACGATTTTGTCCGTTGCTCATGAATATTGCTTAATTTAAAAAAACAAAAAACAAAAGTATTGTTCACTTATTAATACAATTGCCCAAATGATCGCCGACATTTAATTTTTTTGTAACGCAGTAATAATAATCAAAAATAGCTTTATTTTGTTTGAATGTAGGAGATTTGTATGTGAAGCAAAATAACCTCCTTTGAATTGTAGGCGTAACTGTCCGCATGTCAACAGACACTCCGACAGAGGGCGCTCACGAGGCTAACGTGGAGGTTTCGAGGGAGGTGGAGGTGAGCGGGAGGGAGGCTGCCTTGAAATTACAGCACGCTATTTACACGCTTACCTGCATCGTATGGCAACAGTTGACCACTATACACAGGTGAGAGAAACGCATTAAAAGACCCCGATCTTTTGTCATGACAAGTTTAGACATAAAACAATACTAAGGTGTTGAAACGTTATATTTTTTTAGTATAAGAGTTCCTAGTAATGACAAACATTTTAAGTTATTTATTTACAACCTTCAACAACACATCTGCGTATGGTTTCGTACCTACATTAGTGTGTTACATAAAGAACAATGCCAAATCGTACCTGACGACGACGTAGTGTTATTTATCTTTTTTTTTCTAGGCAATATTAATAATAAATCACAGAGCCAGAAAAAAATATGGATTTTTTTCGAAATAATAATTTTTTTTAATCTGTTTGTTCAAAACTTATCGTTCGAGTTTGCGATTGACGTTATTAAATTATAATTAGAAAAAGTTTAGTCAGGTCCAGAACCTATGCACATTTGGGCATCGTTCTTTATGTTTTTAGTGCCAAAGAGAATCGAAATATGAATATGATAGCATAACAAGAGTCATTCTACACTCGTTCTTGTACTTGTCTTATATATTCATTCTGCTGATAACTGTATTGAGTTTTATTCCTTAAAATGGTGTCCAACTGAACTTAGTAAACTTTCTTTGTGGTCAATTGGGACTATTACACGTTATTTTATTTTTTATGGACTTTTTTTTAATTCTAGCCTAGAAGCCCAAGTCTGCGCTTGGCGGTCCAGTGGCGGTAACGCTGCGCGTACGCACGACGCGCAACTTGAAGAGCTTAGGCATGCGCAGTCGCGGCTCACAGCCGAGCGGGCTGCTTGGGAGGCTCAGCGCAGTGCTGATAGAGACGCTCTAGCGATAGGTAAGTTACACAGCGTTAACGTTATAAGGTTGTCAATTGATTTCAATTCCATATAAAAATCCTCTCATATTTTATGGCAGAACTAATTTATATCTTTATATGTTTTCAGAGCCAATTCGCAAAAGTAACACGATATGTAATTGATATATTTAATAATATGAATACTAATTACATATAATGGTTTTTATATTGTATGTATCACAATGATTAACTCTTTACGACACTGTCGAATTGGTTTTTGAAACGCAAGGATAGATAGAGAGATGTTTGTCTGTAGATTCGAGACTGCCTCAAACTAGATAAATCACTACGTTACCATCTAAGGCATATTGAAATAAAACACTTAACGGTTTAGAACCCGAAAGATTGTATCCGTGGTCACGTGACTGGGGGACCATGGCTTCAGCAAAGCATCCGAAACGTCGGGCTGTGTGTCAAAATGTTTTATTTCAATGTGTACTACTTGCGTAAACTAAATACTATGCTTCACCTATAACATATAATATATAATTTTATACATACTTATATTGATCATGTGTATCGCAATTTCAGAGAAACGACA